TGCACCTCTCAGAGACCTGGGAGAAGTCGCTTCCCACACTGAACCCCCCCAAATCCACACCCCCCACCACAAGGATGTTCCTAACACCCCTTACTCCACCATCTCCCTGAGTGTCCAGTATATGTGACCCCTCCCCTCCTTCAGACCCCCAGACCCAGCTCCAGCTCTGTTTTGTGTCTCCAGATACCCCTGACCCCACATCTGAGACGGCCTCACTACCAGCCCTGACCTACTCCAGGCAGAAGCAGGAGAGGACACTGGTGTCCAGGGCCAGCCCCCAGACTGGGGGGCTGGTCTTGCTAATCTTGGTGCCCACTCTTTTGTGTCTGAGCTTTACCTTGTGGCAGCTCCGACAGAGGTTGTGGAGACAGGTGGGACGTGCAGGGTGAATCTGGTCAGGGGGAAGGCTCCGGTGATGGTTTCTGGGTGGGTCGAGGGGAGGAGGTTGGGAGCTGGGTCCCAGCCTTCTAAACCCAGGTTCCTTACTCTCTTCCCCAGAGGACCCAGGTGCCCGAGGAGATGGGCACCTGAATGGAAAGAGAACAGGACCTGATAGGAAGCAATGACTGGGGTAGGATAGCATGAATGGAGTCCTGGTGGGTTAGAGCAGGTGGGGCTGGAAGCCTGGACGCCTGGGTTTTTTCCCAGCTCTGGGAGGGCAGTGGGGACTGATGGGTTAGAGCAGTAGGGGCTGGAAGCGAGGACACCTGGGTTTTCTCCCAATGGTGCAGAGGACTTGGGGGTCTGTTGGGTTAGAACAGGAAGGGTGGGGGACTGGGAGCTTGGACACCTGGGTTCTGTCTGTGGATCCAGTTCTTTCCCATCTCATTGCAGGGTCACTAGAGCTGTCCCAGCTCCAGCCCCCATGGGCTGCAGCCAGGCCAAGAATGGGGGGAAAGAGCTCCTCTCCTTCTATGGTGCCTCTCCCCTCCATGGGCTGAGTTGGGGAGCTGGGATCCCACCAGGGGCCTTACCCCTCATCCCCTCCAGGGGCATGGTGGCACCTGGAACCTGCAGCAGAAGACATGGGTGCGGTACCCACCTCCAGTGACTAGGGGGCGTTGTGCTCAGGCCCCACCCAGGCCTTCCCTGTACAGATTACTATACTGTGTATATAGATAAATAGATTTTTATATAAAAATATCTATATTTTATATAAAGCTGCTTTTAATAGACCTGCCTCCAGGGAAGTCCTTTCAGGGTGAAGGGTGTGGGGCTGAGGGCAAAGAAAGGGGCAGAACTGCCCTGCCTCTGACTCTGGGGTGGGACATGATGGGGCATATTTATACAGAGAACTATGGGGCAAGAGGGACCCTGCTGGATTTCAGGGCTTGGGGATCAGCCCCCTCCCATAGTGCTTTAGGGGGTTCTGGCAGGATCTAGGGCAGCCCCCCTCCCCCTACCAGGTCCCCCTAGCCAGGGAATCAGGACACCTGGGGGTGGGAGTGAGTGGGGCAGCAAGGCATGGTCATGGATACAAGCACCAGGACACCTGAGTTCTCTCCCAGCCCCAAGAGGAGAATAGGATTTGGTGCATGAGAGCAGGGGGAAGCTGAGAGCTTGGACTCCTGGGTTCTATTTAAAGCTGCTTCTACCTCCCAAGAGACACCCCCACCCCCCTGCCCCACATCATCCCATAGTCCCCACCCTGCCCTCACCCAATCCCATCCACCCAGGGCCTCTGAATGAACCTGGGCATGGGACAGAGTGGAGGGGACACCGTCTGGCAGCCTTGCCTCCTCCCCCACCCCCCCTGTTCCTTTCCTCCTTGATTTTTCCCCCTCCTGGCTAATCCCCTCACCAACCCCCAGTGACGTAGCAGTGTGACGGAGGCATTAAGCTAGTTGGGGGGGGCAATGGGGACCCACCCCCCAGTGCCAGCTGCTGCCAGATCCCCCTTCGCCTCTGCAGGAGACGGGCACCGGCCCAGGTAACGCAGCACCAGTGGGGTCAGGGTCTTCCTTGGGCAGGGCTGGGATCTGATGGGAAAGGAGTGGGTGAGTAGGGCAGCTGGGGATAGTAGTGGGCACAGCAGCTGGCACCTGGGTTGTACCCCTGTACCAAGAGGGGAAGTGGGGTCTGGTGGGTGAGAGCAGAGAGGCTGGGGAGCCAGGATGCCTGGGTTCTCTTCTAGCTCTGGGAAGGGAGTGGGGCTGGAGAAGAGTTGACAGCTCGGACATCTGGGTTCTATCCCTACACTTGGAGAGGAGCTGGAGTAGATGTGAGGGAGCCTGAAGCTGGGACTACCTGGGTTCCCTTTTACCCCTCCCCCCCCCCCC